CATGATCCAAATGTTTGTTTTGTGGCTCATGAAGATGAGGTACAATCCAAATCCGAAGATGAATCATTTTTTATGCAATGTGAGTTAGGAAACACTCTAGAAGAATTAAACTTTGAATTTAAGAAATTAAAAAGGGAAGATTCTTCTTTTAAAAAGTTGCATAATTCATATGATTCTAAATTTGAACTACAATCTTCTTTAAATGATGTCATCATTTTAAAAGATAAGATAATTAGAGATCTTGAGCTTAAAAACAAACAATTAAATTTCAAATTGAAAAATTTAAAATTAAAAATAAAATGTTAAGAACAAATCATGCTTCTACTAGTCATAATCATCATCACTTTAGAAGAACATAGCATCATAGATCTCATGCCCCCACCTTCAAGAAAGATTTTGTTTGCACATATTGCATGAAATATGATCATACTTTCACACATTGTAGGTTTAGAGATAATGTTTATTATTATGGATTGATGTGGGTACCTAAGGGTACTAGGAATACTAACATCCAAGGACCCAAAGTTTAGGTACCTAAAGGTTCTACAACTTGTTTACATGTAGGGAACTTCTCGCACAAGACGTAGAGAGTTGTGGTACCTTGATAGTAGTTGCTCTCATCACATGACGAGCAATAAGGACTTATTTATAACCCTATCAAGGATAGAAGGAGGTAATGTCTCCTTTGGGGCGGTGAGAAAGGTAAAATTATAGGTATTGGTAATATTGGTAAGATACATTCTCTCATAATTGAGGATATTTATTTGGTAAAATGACTTAATCATAATCTCTTAAGTATTAGTCAACTTAGTGACAAAGGTTATGATGTTATTTTTAAACCGAATAAGTGTATTGTAAGTCTAAAAGATAAAGCTATTGTTGTTACCCTTAGAAAGTCTAATGTATATATTTTTGAGATTAATAAGCTTTTAGATCAAGATGTGAAGTGTCTTGCCGCGGTGGATGGAGATCTTTGGATTTGGCACAAAAGACTTGGACATGCTCACATGAGATCAATCTCTAAGTTATCAAAGAAGAACTTGGTAAGAGGACTATCAAGTCTAACATACATTAAAGATTCACAATGTGAGCAATGTGCCAAAGGTTAACAAATTAAAAACTCTTTTAAATTCATAAATAAGGTATCCACCACTAAACATTTACAATTGCTTCATCTTAATTTATTTGGTCCTATGTGTGTTGCCTCATTAGGAGAAAAACATTATGTATTTGTTATTGTTGATGACTTTTCACGTTTTACATGGCTTATATTTCTAGCAAATAAAGATGAATGTTTTGAAGAATTTTCTTATTTTGTAAAAAGAGTTAAAAATGAAAAGGAGTTGAAAGTTGTAAAAATTAGAAGTGATCATGGTGGTAAATTTTAAAATAAATCTTTTAGTGATTTTTGTGATCATCATGGTATAACACATACCTTTTTAGTGATTTATTGCACATTTGTTGTTTTATTACCCTATTCACCCCCTCTAGGGTAATTTCATAAGGAATATAGGCAGGCAACTTCGTAACAAACGAAGGTCTTATCGGTGACGAGAGGAAGATAAACGGAACGTGGCTCCAGTGAGAGTCATATCCATGGTAGATTAAAATAAAAAAATAAGAAGAATATCAAATGCTACAACTGTGATAAAAGGGGCACGTGAAATCGGAGTGTTGGCACAATAAGAAGAGTGGTAATTAAAAGTCTTCAGAGCCATTAATATCTCAAGGATGTGTTGTCAGCACGTCAGATGATGGTTAAATTCTATATAGTAGAGCAACCACTGTTGATGAAAGCAGAAAGAGATTTGCTGATGTCTAGCTTCTAGATTCAGCAGCCTCCTGGCAAATGACCTCCCGAAGAGAATGGTTTCACAAATATGAACCTATATCAGGAGGATCTGTATTCATGGGCAATGATCATACCTTAAAAATTTCTAGTATTGACAATATCAAAATCAAAATGTTTGATGGTACAATATGCATCATTCAAGATATACGACATGTGAAGGGTTTGAAGAAGAATCTATTATCTTTAGGATAATTAGATAAGCTCAGGTGCAAGACTCATATAGAAAATGTAGAAAGATTAGGGTTACTTTCTCTCATAGATAGATACCCCTTTTATATAAGGGCACTCTTACAAATAGGTCCTTACAACATTGACTAATTACTATCTAAATAACCCAACACTCCCCCTCAAGATGGGCGATAGATATCAATCATCCCCATCTTGTTACAAAAGATATCACACTCTCTAGAACCTAATCCTTTTGTTAAACAATCAGCTAACTGCTCTTCTGATTTCACATAGCTCAAGGTCAGAACTCCTCTATTCAGTTGCTCCTTGATAAAGAACCGATCGATCTCCACATGTTTGGTGCGATCATGCTGAACTGGATTGTTTGCAATGTTAATCGCCGATTTGTTATCACACCAAAGTTGTAAGGAGTCTCTTCTAAACAAGCGCAGCTCAGATAATATGTTTTTGACCCACATCAACTCGCACAGACCAACTGCCATAGCCCTGTACTCTGCCTCAGCTGTAGACCTAGCCACCACATCTTGCTTCTTGCTACGCCAAGATACGAGATTGCCTCCAACAAATACACAGTAGCCTGTAGTGGACCTACGATCATCCATACAACCCGCCCAATCAGCATCACAATAGCCTTCAATTCTCAAATGTCTAAAACTCCTGAACCATAACCCCTTTCCTGGGCTTCCTTTAATATATCTAAGAATTCTGCGAACTGCCTCCATATGCTGCTCTCTGGGATCATGCATATATCTACTCACCACACTCACGGCATGAGTAATATCAGGTCTCGTATGGCATAGATATATAAGTCGTCCAACCAATCTTTGATATTGCTCTTTACTCACAGGGTCCCCACCCTCGGCACTCATCTTATGATTCTGCTCAATAGGAGTAGATGCAACTCTGCACCCCCAACATCCCTGTCTCTGAGAGAAGATCCAGAGCATACTTCCGCTGAGAAAGCACTATACCCTTTCGCGACCTTGCAATTTTAATTCCGAGAAAGTACTTCAACTGCCCCAGATCTTTAACTTCAAATTCCTCTCCCAATTTCTTCTTCAACAGTAGGATTTCCTCAGCGTCATCTCCAGTGATTACAATATCATCAACATAGACCGCCAGGATAGTGATACGAGTTTTGGAGTGCCTGTAAAACACAGTATGATCACCATTGCACTGCTTGTACCCCATACCACAAACTGCCAACCTGAATCTATCAAACCATGCCCTCGGAGACTGTTTTAACCCATACAAAGACTTCTTCAACTTGCACACCTTCCCAGCTACTTGAGAAGTAGCGAAGCCTGGTGGAATCTCCATATACACCTCCTCCTGGAGATCTCCATGCAAAAAGGCATTCTTGACATCTAGCTGATGTAGTGGCCAATTAAAGTTGGCAGCACATGACACCAACACTCTAACAGTACTCATCTTTGCTACTGGAGCAAATGTCTCGTCATAGTCAATGCCATACGTTTGACTGTAGCCTTTAGCAACCAGTCTGGCTTTGTATCTGTCGATCTTGCCCTCTGGAGTTTGCTTAACCGTATACACCCACTTACATCCAACAGCACGCTTCCCAGCTGGCAGAGGTACCAACTCTCAAGTATCATTCTTCTTCAAAGCCCGAAGTTCCTCTTGCATGGCACTTAACCATCTAGGGTCTTGCTTAGCGACCTGCCAGTTGTTAGGTACAGGCACTGAATGCAATGATGCAATGAATGACTTATATGCAGGTGGAATGGATGCATATGAAATGTAATTCGCAATGTCAGTATCCCAATTACCAAACTTAGCTGGAGGTTTTCCAGCATTGACTCTGGAGGTTCTACGGGGTAAAACGGGAGTATTAGAAGTATCAGGGAAGAACTCGTTACCTATCGATTCAGGTGGAGAAGTCACTGGAGAGGAGGGACTTGGGACATCAACATTTGTGGGCACTGGCATAGGCACAAGAGGCGGCTCATGTTGCTGTTTCTGTCTCCTCGTGTATACTCTCAGCTCCCCCTGACCTTGACTATCACCTCCTGAGTCGCCATCACTACTCGGTAGTGTACCATCACTGCTCGGTCGCTCAAGAGGACATGGAATCATCCCAACCACGACGTCATTCTCATTATCATTCTCCCCCTCTACTAGCATCAGTAGAGCCATCTTCGAACAAGGAACTCAACTCCGTCTTCTCCCCATAAAAAGGTTCAAACTCCCGAAAAGTCACATCCATACTGACAAACAATCTTTTCTCAGTGGGACACCAACACTTGTATCCTTTTTGGCTTGATGAGTAGCCAACAAAGATACATTTAACTGCTTGCGGATCCAGTTTACCCACCATCAATCTGTGATCTCTCACATAACATGTGCATCCAAACACTCTTGGTGGAACAACAAAGACATTCAAGCCCAAGAGCATCTCACACGGTGTCTTCATCCCTAATACTCTTGATGGCATCCTATTGATCAAATAAGCTGCCGTCATGACAGCCTCACTCCATAAAAACTTAGGCACATTCATTGTCAACATCAATGAGCGTGCCACTTCCAGTAGATGCCTGTTCTTACGCTCAGCCACCCCATTCTGAGCAGGGGTGTCTGGGCAGGTGGTTTGATGAACAATTCCCTGATTAGAGATGAAAGCTGCAAACTCCTTATTGACATACTCAGTCCCATTATCTGTTCGAAGAATCTTCACCTGCACTCCAAACTGTGTCTTCACATAAGCCGAGAAATCTTGAAAACATTTGTAAACCTCTGATTTCTGCTTCATCATGTATATCCAGGTCATACGTGAATAACAATCAATGAAAGTAACAAACCATCTAAAACCACTGATAGAGGTAGTAGGACATGGTCCCCAAACATCAGAATGGACAAGTGCAAATGGTTCACAACTTCGAAGACCAATCATTCTATAAGTAGAACGAGTATGTTTTCCAAGTTCATAAGAATTACAAAATAACTATTTTCTATCCACTTTCTTCATAATCTCAGGTTCTAACATATTCAAACTATCAAAAGATAAATGCCCTAATCGGCAATGTTGAAGCATTGCTTCTGCCTCTGGCCCTCCGCTAACAGCAGCAGCAATCACTGCAGTCTCCCTGTCCAAATACCAAAGATACCAAAGACCATCACGTCTGATGCCAGTCCCAATCCTCCTCCCTGTTTCCTTCTCTTGAAAGACACACAAATCTCGATCAAATAACACGGTGCAATTTAATTGATCAATGAGAGAGCTAACTGAGAGTAAGTTAACTGGAAACGAAGGAACATGCAATACTGATGACAAGGTAACAGATGAAGTGCAATGGACCGAGCCAGTACCCCTGATGGGTTGGGATGTCCCATCAGCAGTCTGAACTGTCTCAGGATGCATATGCTTACTCGGATAATATAATGCAAACTCACTAGATGTTCCTGTGACATGCCTAGATGCACCTGAGTCTATGATCCAATCAACATGAGTTTTAGTGGATGCAAGTGCCTGAACCTGTGTACCTTTGTTCGCATGAGCATAACCAATAAAGTTACCAAAGCATGTAGTGGTAGCCAGATCCTGGGTGACTTGTCCCTTGCCCTTCGAACTCTCAGCCTGAAGCTTGAACAGACGTAGTTCCTCCAGCTCTGTTATTTCAGCTCCAGTCATCCCAGCAGTAGTCTGAGACTCATCTGTCACAGCTAGGTGAACAACTCCTTGGCCTACACGCCCCCTGCCTCCTCGACCTGCACGGCCACCAGTCTGACCACGTTCACCCCAGTTCCTTTCTCTGGGTGGCTTAGGGCACATCTGTCTCAGATGCCCTACCTCTCCGCAGTTAAAGCACTGCCTAGTCTCCCCTCTGAATCCAGTGTTATCCGGGTTGGATACCACCAGTGCAGACTTCTCCCCTGTAAGTCCACTTATCCCAGACCGTAGCCTGATACGACTCTCCTCCTGTATCATGGCCGAGACTGCCTTCTCCAGTGGTGGGATCTTCGTCTGGGTTAGTAGCAATGCCGTCCTCTGCTCATACGCTGGAGCCAATCCTCGAAGAAACAACATGGTCCTCTTCTGCAAAGAGGCCTCGCGCTCCTTGCACTCAGGGTCCTTGCAGCTCGCTAAGGGCGAAAAGTGATCATGATCGAGCCACAAGCGCTCCAGCTCTGTGGCGTACTCCTGTACAGTCCTCTCTCCCTGGACTATAGCGCTGATCTCCTTCTCGATCTGGAATGCCCTCAGGTTGTTCAACTTCTTGATGATCTCCTCCATCGGATTTTTTTCAGTCTTTGTCATCGATCCAAATTGTATTCTTGTGGTGCACAACGAAAAAATTCCGGCAGCACTTCGACAGTACAACAAGATAGATAGATCAACAAGAATTCCTGTTTCACCAAGGAAACAAGAACCAGAAGCAAGATATCTCAACAAAGTGAGATATCAGCTCTTCTCTCATCAGTTCTAGGACTGACTTGTCGAGGGAACCTAAATAAACTATTACAAATCAAGAACCTCTCTCCCTTTTTTTTTTTTACCTAATCATCTGATACAGATTACAAATCCATTTTTCCTCTTTTTTTTTCCTACTTTTCTAATACAGATTACTAATCAGCAACAGTTATGAGTGGCTGTCAAGATTTCAACAAAAGATATTAAATCTTCAGGCGAATCTCGCAGCTTCAACAAAACCTTCACGAATCTCGCAAGCTAAAAAATTCCCTCAAAATTTGCAAACAAACTCCAGCCGCTTTCTTCAGGCTAAAATCTAAGGGCCTCATAATGCCACTGCATGTTCCCCTGAGATCTCAGGCAGTTTTCGGCCCGACCGGCGGATCTTCGTCCTTCGCAGCTCAGTATCACTGAAACCACTAAGATGCGAGCAAGATGATAGCTTTATGATCGCTCACCTTGATCCCTGCCTTCACTAAAACAGCCAGAGCCTCTTCAACACGGAGGTCAACATACAGCCTAACACACCCATGTTCCCACATCGCCGCCGGAAGTTCCCTTGCACACACGTCCTCGGATCTCAAACCGACGGCTGCGTCCCGTCCTCCTTCGTACTTTCGCGTCCGTCAGGAGAACCGTCTCGTGAATCGACAAGATCCGCAGAGCCTGGAGGAGATCCATACCTTCACTCTCCTCGCACGTCAAAAAGAGCACGCAGTATATCCAGACAACCCTTCGCCCCAGCCTACCAAAGAACGAGGTCATGAAGATCATGCCGGTCCAGAAGCAGACGCGCGCATCATGAAATGTACTTAGAACTGTGAGTCAAGCAGTTGCCTTCGGTCAGCGGACCCATAGTTCAAAGGTGTTCGTACTTCGTCGGGGACGGGAACGTGGGGGCTGTCGGTCAGTGGCGCGAAGGAGGGAGGTGGTCGCGGTGAGGAGAGGGTACTGGGAGACGCAAGATTGGTGAGGATTCGGGGCCGGATTTGGCTCAAGAAGAGGGAGGCGGCTAGGTGAGATTTGCTCTGATTACCCAAGTGTAGAAAGTATTAGGTTACGTTTCTCTCATAGATAGATACCCCTTATATAAGGGCACTCTTACAAATAGGTCCTTACAACATTGACTAATTACTATCTAAATAACCCAACAGAAAACATGATCATGAAGATTGTTAGAGGGGTGCTTGTTGTGATAAAAGGAAAAAAGATAGCTATAAATCTATACATGCTCAAGGAAGAAAACCCTGCAGGAAGCTGATTCATTTGTGACATCAACCAGCCGTGTAGAAGAACATACCATGATGTGACATCATAAACTAGGCTACATGTCAGAACGAGGCTTGAAGATTCTCTCCGATCAGAAGCTGCTTCCTGGACTTAATTCCATTATGTTACAAGTAAGCAGTATCGACTGAAGTTCAACACATCGAGTTCTAGAAGTAAGACTATTCTGAAACTGGTTCATTCTGATGTATGGCAAGAACCAGTTACATCAATGAGATGAGCAAAATATTTTGTTTCCTTTATTAATGATTATTCCATGAGATGTTGAGTGTATCCAGTCAAGAAGAAGACGGATGTGTTCTCAATCTTTAAAACCTACAAAGCGCGAGTTGAGCTTGAATCTGAAAAGAAAATCAAGTGCTTAAGGTCAAATAACGAAAGAGAATATACAGACGGTGATTTTTTTGCATTCTACAAGCAAGAAGACATCAAAAGACAATTCAGTACTGCTTATACTCCTTAACAAAATGGAGTGACGGAGTGGACAAATAGAACTCTGTTGGAAAGAAAAAAAACAATGTTGATAACTGTAAATCTGGATAAATTCTTTTGGACGGAAGCAGTAAAAACCGTCTGTTATGTGATGAATCGATCTCCATCAACCGCAAGACAGTTAAATACACCGATAAAGATGTGGACCGTTAAGCCAGCTGATTATTCTAATCTTTATATATTTAGAAGTCAAGTGTACGTAATGTATAATGCCTAAGAAATTACAAAGCTAGATTTAAAATCTAGAAATTGCATACTCTTAAGGTATGCTGACGGAGTAAAGGGGTATCGCTTGTGGGATCCCACTGCTCATAAGGTTATCATCAGCAGAGATGTTATCTTTGTAGAGAACCAACTGCAAAGTGAAGAGAAAGGAAGCAGATCAAGGAATGACTCAGAGACTGTAGCTGTTCAGGTAAAAAATGATCCAAATTTTTCTGAAGCAACACCGGAACATGATGTACAAGAACCAGTCGAGTCCGAGACTCCAGAAGTTTGACGGTCAACTCGTGAAGGAAGACCACCGACTTGGTACTCGGAGTATATTACGGAGAGTAATATTGCGTATTGTCTTCTAACAGAGGATGAAGAGTCATCAACGTTTCATGAAGCTATAAATAGCACAAATGTATCTTTGTGGATGACAACAATGCAAGAAGAAATTGAAGCTCTTCATAAGAATAAGACTTGGGTACTTGTGTCACTACCACAAGGAAGGCTATTGTAAATAAATGGCTCTACAAGATCAAGCGAAATAGAGATAATCAAGTGAAGCAATATCGTGCTAAATTGGTAATAAAAGGATATGCTCAGAAAGAATGTATTGACTTTAATAAAATATTTTCTCCTATAGTTCGACTTATAACAGTCTGAATAGTCCTGGCAATGAGCGTTATATTTGACTTATATCTAGAGCAGCTAGAAGTGAAAACAACATTTCTTCATGAAGATCTTGAAGAAAAAATTTATATGCTCCAACCAGAAGGTTTTGAAGAAAGAGGAAAAAAAACTTGATTTGCAGATTGAACAAATCTCTGTACGGTCTAAAACAGACACCGAAGTATTGGTACAAGAGATTTGATTCATTCATCATGAACCTTGGATACAACAGACTTAATTCAGACCTTTGTGCATATTTCAGGAGGTTTGGCAAAAATAACTTTGTTATATTATTATTGTATATTGACGACATATTGGTTGCAGGCCCCAACAAATATCGTATCAAAGAATTAAATGCACAGTTAGCTAATGAATTTAAAATGAAGGATTTAGGATCTGCAAATAAGATTCTAGGAATGTAAATTTACCAAGACAGAATTAATAAGAAGATTTAGCTTTCTCAGAAGAATTATTTGAAGAAAATCTTGTGGCGCTTTAATATGCAAGATTGTAAGTCAATTTCTACCACACTTTCTGTTAATTTTAAGTTATTCTCCAGTATAAGTCCTAGCAGTGAAGAAGAGAGAATGGAAATATCTCGAGTACCGTATGCATCAGCAGTAGGAAGTTTAATGTTCGTTATGATTTGTATAAGACCAGACATTGCACAAGCAATGGAGTGGTTAATCAATACATGGTGAATCCTGATAAAGACATTGGAATGCTGTAAAGAGGGTCCTAAGATACATTAAGGGAACTTCAAATGTTACATTATGTTATGAGGGATCATATTTTATTGACAATGGATATGTTGATTCTGATTATGCACTTGCTGACGGAGCTGTAAGCTGGATTTTAAAACTGCAGTCAGTTGTGGCTACGTCAACAACAGAAACAGAAAAATATGTAGTAGCTCCACAAGCTAGTAAAGAGGCTAAATAGGTGAAAATGGTGTTGGAGGAACTCGGACATGAACAAAAAAAATTTCTCTATTTTGTGACAGTCAGAGTGTTTTGCATTTAGCAAGAAATCCAGTCTTTTCATTCAAAGACAAAACATATTCGAGTTCAGTAGCACTTCGTTCGTGAGAAAATGGAAGAATGAACAGTGGATATGCAAAAAATTCACACCAAATACAACCTAGCAGATTTATTGACAAAAGCAGTCAATACTGATAAATTTATTTGGTGTCGATCCTCTTATGATCTGTCGGAGACATGAGGAACATAAAGATGGTAAAATAGAAAGAATAGTGTGAAGATATGATTAATACTCGATCAAATCTTCAAGTGAGAGATTGATAAAAAGTTATTGTATCACCTACCTACTATGGTAACCACCAACCGTGTTACAGTAGCCACCAAACGCAAACACGCTAAAATGTTACTGTGGCGACAGTGTAGCAACAGTACTCACCTACCGCAAACTCACCTATATATAGCTCTCTCTGACGTTAAGTTTTAATCATCCTAGTGTCTCCAATTAAGAGTGAAAAGAAAGAGAGAGGGAGAGAGAAAGAGAGAATTATAGAGAGTTTCTCCTTGGGAAGAGATGTTGTAACTCCTAAATTTTCCTCATAGTAGATTCTTCTATCCTTGCCCGTGGTTTTTACTCCAAATTCGTTTATAAATCTGTGTGTGTTTATTTTATTACTTCTGTTCTACTATTCGTCGGGACCTTGCTTTATTGGGTCCTGGGTTTGTCCCAACAAGTAGGTGATGTAAAATCCTGCCAAAAGTATATAAAGAATCAAAACAAATTAAAATGAAACCAAGTAACATTATTATCATTGACCATTTATTAATTCCAGGCTTGAACTTTCTCCACTATATATAAACATGGTGAAGAATTACTTCTTCAGCGTAACTATTTATCATTTAATGAACAGTTATGATCTGGTTTAAATACAAAATAAAAAAAAATTCAAAGAATAATAATGATAGTCATATTTAAATAAAAACATAACTAACCTAAATTTGATTAGATGACTATGATCTATGCAGTACTTTGTCTACTGTAAATACGAAAAGAAGATCCAAATTCACTCCCTTTCGTACATAAATGGAATCATTATCATTTGGTTATAACTTTATCAATGCACATCTGGATTGCTCATTTTAACCTCTGCCGAATTCTAAAATTTGATGATTCATGTATTAGATTTTGCAGATGCCTGACAAAGACAAATAACAAAGTGTTGATACCTCATAACGGCTAGTATAATTATCAAAGACGAACACAATTTGTCTTCTTGAGCTTGTAAGTTTGTGTAAAATTCTATGTTTTCTCTCACCACCCAATCATTATGTGAAACAACACAATTCTAGTGTTTTCAATCTATTGTTTAAGAAAAATTTGTACGCTGAGTTTATGCCCAGCTGTGTACCATCCGTGGAATGATGCAATGGTTCTCGAAAATATCTTTTTAGTCTTTTGTAGAGATCATCCTTGACGAAAGGATGTTTTTTATAGATTTAAGTACATGAAGTTAGAGAAAGATTAAGCTGGTCCTACATAAATATCATTCAAAACATCACTGTAGATTTCCCAGATGATAAGAATCTGCATCTCTGTCAAAATCTTCAAATATGCTATTGGGTGTTGTCCCATGAAGAGAGGGGGATTATGATAAATCTTCAAAATGAGATTAACATGAGTTTAATTCACACAGTATGATACTTTAATAAGTTATGGTTTCTATTATCTATATTCATTTCTTCCTTTATGTAAGTTTTCCCACTGGCGTAGGGCCTACCCTATAAATATTTCTTCCAAAATTTTAAGAATAAAAGTTGTCTCTAGTATGGAGGCTTAGCCTATAAATATATATTTGCTTGTATATGCTGCTTTACTTTTGTAAGAATTTTCCAACAAACTGATTGTATCTTCATTGTGATAATCTCATCTAAAACTATTCGCTATATTTGTTTACAGCCTTTTCATTTTAAAGAGTTAACTCCAGGAGATTTAACCGCATCTAAGTAGCCAGGCCATTGACAGTAATTTTTTTAAAGGAAACATTGAATGTGTGTAAGTAGTCAGCATTGCAAGCAAGAAGCAGATTTTGGTGCCAAAAGCATGAAGAAGCAATTGGAAAGAATTATTGTATTTTAGCAAGTGTGAGTAAAGAATCGATACCAGGTTGTTATTCTTTTAACAATCTAGCAGTAGCTGCACGGCAAGAAGTTATACTTGTTCCGATGTGCGCGATAGTTCTCATGCCCACTAATCACAAGCATTGGAGACCGCTAAGACTAATCAGCAGTCTTTTTCAATTACAGGAGCAGGATGTCACCTGCCATAAAGACACCAATAAAAAAAATCATCATTAGAGCTTATTAGGCACAACTTGCGGCAACTAATAATTTTGAAAGCGACTAAGCTTACGACATGGACAACTGCGCTTGAACTGTACCCTCCAAACGTTTGCCAATCCCATAATCGTCAACGACAGAACTCAAAGTGATACCAGCTGCAGTAAATAAATTTAAAAAAAATCAGTTTAAAAGTGAAAAAAAGGCACACAAAAATCCAGAAAGAGCACTTATAGTAATAGAAGAACATATAATATTAATCCTCCAACTCTTCAGTCATACTTACATGAATCAAGCATTCACATGTGGATTCCTCAGCATTTTTAATCCAAGAGGCTAGAGCTTTCAGGAAGCTAAGCTGGCAATCAAGTAAAAGACAACACGCTTTGGAACAGCATACTAACAACAAAGATTCCAGAAATTTGTCAATAAAACCAGGCCTAGTTAACTGGAAGGGTCTGACCAAAGACAAAATTAGAAAGGGCTGAATAGAAGAGAGATTGCAATGCACCTCCCAGCTAATTTTTTAACACTCTAATGTTGATTTGTACAGCTTGTTAGTTCTGCATATCAGAAACAAAGAAAACAAAAAAAAGATTATATAATGATTGTAATAGCTAATTGGAGCTATGGAGATGATGGTGGTTCATTATCTTCCACGTCTGTGTCTTTTTGAGGGTTCTCGACTCTACTGGTTGTTATTGTCTATGAACTGTTGTTTGAACCTGTTGTAATGGGTTGGCTCGGTTGTTGAATGAAGTTTGAGTACTGATCGAGTGAGCCTCGTAAAAACATCTTTTGGAGCACTTGCTACGAAAATTCGATGACATAGTCCTTGTGATCATTTACGAGCTCCGATGACATGTGATGTTCCTCGGTAACTGTTGCAGCGGGGGGCTTTATAGACACAGAAAATGTCTATACAAGAGTGGAAAATAACAACACTGAATAAACACAGTGAAGACAAAGAACAACACATAAGGATTTAACGTGGTTCGGCCAATATGACCTACATCCACGGGAGAGAACAGCAGATAACTTCACTAATCACAAAAGAGAAGATTACAAAAGAAGAGATCACTCTCTAACCAAAGAATCACACAAAGAAAGACTTCTCTTTCTATCTCACTCTCTTCTCTCTGACTCTCACTTCTTCTCTCTATTTGTTCTGTGTTCTAAACTCTCTCCCACACCCTCCTTATATAGTTTCCAAATAATAATAAAAAATTAAAAAAGTGGTTGTTGGAACAATAATTGGGAGTAGGTGGCATAGTGATGTTAGGTAAATGGAGAAATTTTCAAAGACACATGACAAATCTTCACATTGACTTTGAAAATGAAGATCTTCCCTTTACTCTTGTTGTCTCGCCAGAAGCCCCTTACGGGCTTAACTTCCGCTTTGTTAAACTCCAAGCAATTCGAGACAATGCTCGAACTTGCGTTAAGGTACGGACTTCGTCATCATATCTGCTAGATTGTCTGCAGTACCAATTTTTTCAACCTTTATGACTTTAACTTCTCTGATGAAATAATATCTGATATCTATATGTTTGGTTCTTTCATGATACATCTGATGCTTCGTCAAATGTATAGCACTCTGACTATCACAAAATACCGAAGTAACACATTGGTGTAAGCCGAGATCTTCAACCAAACCTCTCAATCAAATAGCTTCTTTCACTGCCTCTGTCACTATCATATACTCTACATCTGTGATAGACAAAGCAACTGTCGACTGTAGAGTCGCCTTCTAACTAATGGTACTACCTGAAAAGTGGATATATAACCTGTCAGGGATCGTCTCTTATCCAAATCGTCTGCATAATCTGAATCAGAATAGCCAAGTATATGCAATCTGAGTTTGTGTTCCTGTCAAAATATAAGCCAATATTAGCAGATCCTCTTAAATATCTAAGTATCCATTTCACAACCTGTCAATAGACCTTTCCAGGCTTATTCATATACCGACTCACAACACTGACTGCATGTTAAATATCTAGACAAGTGCAGACCATAGCATACATAATGCTTCCAACTGCACTAACATAAGGAACATAAGACATGTACTGCACCTCCTTCTCAGTCTGAGGTGACAAATCTACTGAAAGACGAAAATGAGTAACAAGCGGAGTCTTCACAGGCTTGGCATCAAGCTTGCCAAATCTCTCCAATACCTTCTTAATGTATTTCTCCTGAGATAGGAATAAGCTTCATTCTCGCTTATTTTTGTGGATCTTCATTGTAATAGCCAACAAAAATATAAATAAATAAATGAATGAATAAAATAACTAAAAATTTTGTGGTGGGGAGTTTCTCCACCACTTAACATAGCGATTAGCTTTTCACCGCCCTCCAACGGTATATAAGGGGAGGAAAGGGGAGAAATTCAGGTTAAAAACGAAAAAAAATAAAGAAGAAAAGAAGAAGAAGAAGGAGACAGTGAAGGAAAAAAGGGAAAATCTAAGGTAATTTAATTTCTATTTTCTTTTTATCTAATTAGTTTCTAATAGGATAGTGATTATGATGAACAAGTTTAATTTTGGAAATACCTATTAAGATTGTATGAAAAGAGAGAATGCTAACCCTAGTTTTCAGTGAGGTCTGACCACCGGCCATCTCCTGATCACTGACGGTCCCCTTTCCGCGATCTTAGGGCTTTGGCGAGAGAGAGAGAGAGAGAGAGAGAGAGAGGAGAGAGGTGAGGAAAACCGAAAGGAGGAAAAAAAAAGGGGAAACTGAAAGAAAAAAAGAGAAACGAAAAAAAAGGAGAAAGAAACGAAGAAGGGGGGAGGAAGATGACCAGGTGCTTTTTTTTTAATAAAGGGAGGAAAATTGCTTTAAGCCCCCTGAACCATGAAAATTTTTTGAAACCGACCTTAATAATGTGAGTTATGTTTGAAAAAGGATTGGGAATCTCTGTTAGGCCCTTGTCATTTACTTTACTTGTTAACAAGCCTAACCTGAGGAATAAACAATAATTTTTTAGACTTGATAAAATTCCCTATAACCCCCTGCATTATTATAAATTGCTAGAAAGTCCAAAAGCTAGTATATGAGAGTTATAAAATTTTGATAAATTGCTAAATTAACAATAAGCTTATATGTACTGTAGAATTTGATCATTATTGATTATATTTGAGTTTATTAGACTCTAGATTATGAGTTAATTTACCTATAATATATGTTTGTTCATAATTAATAATTAGTCATATATCTTACATTATAAGTTCTGGTTGATATTCGGGAGAATAATAGTTTGAGAAAATCATGACCACTAGAGGTGAGTTCATTTCTCACTAGTATTTTATAATATGAAATTTCATGAGTTTTATATTTGATTTATCTTGTGATAAAAATAAATAAATAAATAATATGTCTTTTCATGTATATAAAGATTTGACCTATTTCTGTTGTGGTCTATCCTATAATACGATGTTAGCCTCGTACAATATATCAAAAGCTAATTTGATCTTTATGTAAAATATGAAAAATAACTTTGGCTCTCGTGCAATTTTCAAATAATTGTGGACTTTGTTATATCTGAAAGTTTTTGATGAAATATTGGAACGTATTTCAACAGTTTAACGGATTCAAAGATTTTTCGTGGTTTAGTATCTGATAAAAGGAAAAGTAAATATCCGTGAACTGTTTTAACAGAAATGAGAAGTTTTACCTTGCCAACTTCATTTGAATATCTGCAAATTCTGATATGCAAAATATTTCTCATTTGACATGTGATCTCGATGTTTTCAAACCCTCAAATAGTCCACTATGGATTGGTTCTGCCTGTCATATGGTGAATGCACCTTTATTTGACCCTTCTGTATTGGTCTTGGCCCTTCTGTATTGGCCCTTCTGAAATCTATTCTGGCCCCTCTGTATTTGGCCCGTAGCCTATGGCAGTGTTAGGTGTATTCGGTTTCCGAAAATTATCTGTTATCTGATGCGGTTTACGCATTCCCTTGCTACTGGGCTAAAATTCGTAGCCTTAGTGTGACCTATGGGGTGACTTTTACATTCATGAAATACTCATCGAGAAATAAGATTCTGATAATTGACTGTGAAATTAAGAAAACAACAATTCTCTGATTTTGTACAAATTAGTAGTTCTTTTCATTCTTAATGTTTACCTTGATTCAAAAAGGGTTTAATTCCAAGAAATTTCACAGTTTATTCAGTTACACATGAGAAATGAAATATAATCGTTGTATTCTTTCTTAAAAATGACAATATTATGATATTTGGATCATATTTTGCTATCTGTGAATTTCTCATGCAAAACTTAAAATTTGTTAATTTCTGAGAACTATTCTTATTACTATTTTGTTAGTTATCTAGGAACTCTAGTGGGAAATGTTCTCACTGAGCGTTAGCTCACCCCGTTGTTTTTAAATATTTTTTTTCAGATCCGGCGTAGCTTCCTATTAGCCGACTTTTGGTTTGAGCTTTTGACTGAGAGGCGTGATATGGAAAGCCTCTTCTTTTTAATGTTATCTTCAGCACAATTTGTTTTGTTTTGTAAAAATGCTTATAACGGTGAGCTTGTGGGGTGTAAGTACCGATCATATATATATAGTTGCTCTGATTTCTATCATCAACAGGATTATGAATATTTTGAAAATAAACTATGTGATATGAATTGCCAGGCTTGACTTGTGCATAAGACTTGTCTCGTGCACGGGTCGCTGCTGTCGCGTACCCCGTATTTTATGAATTTTCGCTGCAGATTCGGGGCGTGACGGTAAGGTAGTATCAGAGCCTAGGTTTTGACGTTAGAAACCTTGTAGGACACGCTATCATATATTATATGCGCTAGATGAGTGTTAGCGTATGGATCAATTACGTGATATATATGTCTGTATACATACATGTATATATGTATGCATATAAATATTTTATAGTAAAACCTTTTAGGGTTGTTAAGGAGTGCTTAGATGTTTATTTTATTTCACTTTGTCCTTTTTCTTTAGTAAACTGATGGATGGTTCCCCTTTTGTAGGATGACGGGAACCAATTCATCTTCTAGTTCGTTATCTACCCTGTCCAACTCTATGATTTCCGTAGATAGCTCGTGGGAACCCAGCCTGAGAGACTGGGGATACACTTCCGATGAAACTGATCCGAACGTGATAATGACTAACCATATGACCCCTGACTCACCGGAGGTCGAACCAGTAGAAGTTGTTATGGAAGATTCATCCGAGTCTGAGCTTGAACATGCTGAGGATGAGGATATCGTGGTAGAAGTTGTTCCAATTGAGTCATCACCTTCAGAAATTATTATGATTTCATCTGATCCCTCTGACAGGGAGTCCCTTGTAGCCCAGATTCCTAGTGATGACCAGAGACTTGCCCTCTCTGTGGGTGAGTCGAGTAGCCTAGGCATTGGTCCAGACCTCGACCTTGAAGGATGGGGGACTAGCGGCATAGATCCAGATCCAATGTCCAATTCTGTTGATAACCAAGACTCAGAGGAGACTGAACCAACTGAGGATCCAGATCCAATGTCCAATTCTGTTGATAACCAAGACTCAGAGGAGACTGAACCAACTGAGGAGAAGTTTAGTTCCAGCAGCTCCTCTTCTTCAAGGAAATAGAGCATAACTGTTAGGGCAATTTTGTAATATCAGTATATGGGTTTTCATAGTTACTCATTTGATTTATGTAGGACATTTTTGGTAGAAAATATGTATATATAAACCCATATACTCAGATATGTGTATGAACTAAAAAGTTAAATATTAATAATATACTTTTGGTTTGTAAATACTGATTTGTGTTATTATGTTGAGTAATGATTGAGTTTCTAATTACTTAAATTGCATATATGTGACTGACTTAGGAATTTCTCTTTGTATAATAGTTGACTGAAATATTTTATTATTTATAGGTAGATATAGCTTCAGGTAATGAGCAAACCCCTCCTAACGGAGATAGGGATCTAAATCAGACAATAGGTGAAATGATGAGATCTAGAATTACTCGTGCATTCACCTCCGGAAACTCAATAGACAACAATGCGTTGATGGATCTGCTGCAACCGGTGACAACTGTAGTCACCAGACAACAAGATCAAATTGATCGTAATCGGACGAATGGTCAAATGAGGAGCACCCAAAATTAAGAAGTGGCATGGGAGAATTCAAGAAACTATCTCCACCCAGTTTTGAGGGAACAACTGATCCTATGATTGCTGAGCATTGGATCACAGAAATGGAGAAGGTCTTCACATACATGAAATGCCCTGAAGAGGAGAAGGTTAATTATGCAGTATACATGTTAAAAGACCGCGCTTACGGGTGGTGGCAAATGCAGGTCAGGACATTGGGTGAGCAGGCATACAAGTTATCATGGGAGGAGTTTAAAAAGATTTTTTATGAAAAGTATTTTCCTTCAACTGTTCGCAAACAAAAAGAACAGGAGTTTCGAAAATTGAAGCCAGGTGATAAGACAGTAGCTGAATATGAAGAAGAGTTCACTTATCTATCAAAGTTTGTCATTCACTTGTTGGGTAATGAGGAAGATAGAGCTCGTCGCTTCGAGGAAGGGCTTCGACTGGACATCCGAAAGACGGTCAGTGCATTTGAACTCCCTACATATGGAGAAGTGTTAAAGAAGACCTTGTTAATTGAGAAAAATAAAATTGATACGAAACCAAATAATGAGGCGAGCAACTCCTACCCAAAGAAGCGGTTCTGGCAAGACAATCGCGGTGGAAGAAATAAGAATTGGAGAAACAAAAAGCAAAATTTTGGACGCAGAGAGGAGCAATTTTCAAATCAGAAAACTTTAAGATGTGATGTTTATCACAAACTGGGGCATGAAGCGAAAAATTATTGGAGAAATACCGGAGCTTGTTTGAGATGTGTCCAGAAGGATCACAAAATAGCAAATTGTCCCCTACATCAACCATCTCGGAATACTTTCCAGACTGACCAGTCCAGTGGGGGGAACAAGCATCCTCAAGCCAAGGCCCGAGTTTATTCTCTAACTGAGAAGGAAGCAGAAGCAAACAAAGATGTGGTGACAGGTACGCTAACTTTTGCGTCGGTTCATGCTCGAGTACTATTTGATTCTGGTGCATCGCATTCCTTTATTGCTACACAGTTTGTTAAGAGAAACAAATTACCCTGTGATACCCTACAAAAAGAATTGCTTGTTAGTACATCCGGAGGTAGCACATTAGTATCAACTCAAGGTTGTAGGGGTAAAATTTATATTCTCGACAAGGAACTTCCCGTAAAATTAGTGATGCTAGAAATGCATGATTGCGATATCATATTGGGGATGGATTGGTTATCCTTAAATCATGCTTCCATTTTATGTCGAAAAAAGAAAGTAGTATTTAAATTTCCTGGCCAACCCGAATTTTGTTTTGAGGACGGAAAGTCTCAACAACCCTTAAAAATCATCTCAGCCCTTAAAGCATATCGAGCGCTGAGAAGTGGATGTATGAGTTATTTGGCTTCAGTTAAGATGGTTGATGATGAAGAACCAAGTTGGGAAGAAATATCAATTGTCCGAGAATTTCCAGAAGTATTTCCAGATGAACTTTCAGGAATGTCCCCAGATAGAGAAATTGAATTTTCAATTGACCTAGTACCTGGTACGAGTCCTATTTCTAAGGCTCCTTATCGAATGGCACCTGCTGAATTGAGAGAACTCAAGATATAACTGCAAGAACTTTTAGATAAAGGCTTCATTCGGCCGAGTGTGTCACCTTGGGGTGCACCAGTGTTATTTGTGAAGAAGAAAGATGGAAGCATGAGACTATGTATTGACTTCCGTGAGTTGAATAAATTAACCATTCGGAACAAGTACCCATTACCGAGAATTGATGATCTATTTGATCAATTACAAGGAGCCCAGGTATTTTCAAAGATTGATCTCTGTTCTGGTTACTATCAATTAAAGATTAAGCCGGAAGATGTGCCAAAGACTGCATTTCGAATCCGTTATGGTCAGTATGAATTTTTAGTTTTACCATTCGGGCTCACAAATGCACATGCGGCATTTATGGATCTTATGAACAGGATATTTAAACCTTTCTTAGATCAGTTTGTTGTGGTATTTATTGATGATATTCTGATATACTCAAGAAGTAAAGAAGAACATGAAAAACACTTGAGACAGGTGTTGCACACATTAAAGAGAGAACAACTGTATGCGAAACTTAAGAAATGTGAATTCTGGTTGGAGGAAGTAGCATTTCTTGGGCATGTGATCTCTAAGGAAGGGATTTCTGTGGACCCTGAAAATGTAAAAGCTATTGTTAAATGGGACAGACCGACTACTGTGACGGAAATCCGTAGCTTTCTTGAAATGGCTGGCTATTATAGAAATTTTGTGGAAGGATTCTCTCGTATTGCTTCACCTCTAACTCGTCTTACTAAAAATGGAGTTAAATTTATTTGGTCAGATGAATATGAGAAAAGCTTTCAAGACCTAAAAAGTCGATTAGTGTCTGCTCCAATACTTACATTACCCAATGGAGACACAGACTTTGCTATCTATAGTGATGCTTCTAGAAGAGGACTGGGATGTGTACTTATGCAAAATGGAAAAGTCATAGCATATGCTTTAAGGCAGTTAAAGCCTTATGAACAAAACTATCACACTCATGATCTTGAGTTAGCGGCAGTAGTGTTTGCTCTCAAAATTTGGAGACATTATTTATATGGAGTACATTGTGAAATATACACTGACCATAAGAGTTTGAAATATATATTTATCCAGAAGGAGTTGAATTTACAGCAAAGAAGATGGTTGGAGTTTCTGAAAGATTATGATATGACCATCAATTATCACCTCGGCAAGGCAAATGTTGTTGCTAATGCCTTGAGCCGCAAGAATTCATGCAATTTAGCATGCTTAATTACTTCTCAAAGAAAAATATTAGAGGCACCAAATTGGAGTCAAATTAGCAAATATGGTAATACAACCCTCTTTGCTAGATGAAATTAAAGCAAACCAGCAGAATGATCCTCAACTGTTGAAGATAAAGAAAGATGTGGAAGAAGGCACTCGAGGAGAATTTAAGATACATAAAGATGGGTCATTGAGATTTGGAACTAGAGTTTGTGTGCCTAACATACCAGAGATAAAGAAAAAGATTCTAAAAGAGGCACATCACTCTCTGTATACTATGCATCCTGGATCAACAAAAATGTATAAAGACCTGAAGAAAATATATTGGTGGAATAATATGAAGAAGGAAATTGTCACCTATGTTGCAGAGTGTTTCACTTGCCAACAAGTAAAAGCTGAGCACCAAAGACCAGCTGGATTAGTCCATAACTTGGACATACCAACGTGAAAATGGGAAAAGATCACCATGGATTTTGTCACTGGCCTTCCAAAATCTTTGAGAAAGAATGATGGAATATGGATAATTGTTGATCGGTTGACAAAGTCAGCACACTTTTTACCTATTAATATGAAATTTTCATTAGAAAAGCTGACTAAAATGTACATTAATGAGATAGTAAGGTTACATGGTGTACCAATATCAATAGTTTCTAACCGAGATCCTCGGTTCACATCAGAATACTGGAAAAGTGTGCATAGAGCTCTGCAGACTAAACTAAATTTCAGCTCAGCTTATCATCCACAGACAGATGGCCAATCAGAACGGACAATTCAAACACTAGAAGATATGTTGAGATGTTGTGTTCTGGAGATGAAAGGATCGTGGGAAGATTATCTGCCTCTGGCCGAGTTTGTATATAATAATAGCTACCAAGCTAGCATTCAAATGGCATCATATGAACTTCTTTATGGAAGGAAGTGTAGGTCTCCTATTCATTAGGATGATGTTGGAGAAAGGAAACTTCTTGGACCAGAATTGATACAACAAGCAATTGATAAAATTCAATTAGTTAGAGAACGTCTTCGCACGGCACAAAGTCGTCAGAAGAGTTATGCTGATCAAAGAAGAAGGGAATTAGAATTTCAAGTAGGCGATCATGTTTTCTTAAAGGTTTCGCCTACCCGAGGAGTGAAAAGATTTGGAATACAAGGGAAGTTAAGCCCGAGATTCATTGGTCCTTTTGAAATTCTAGAGCGTATTGGTCCAGTGGCGTACAGATTAGCATTACCACCAACCCTGTCTGGAGTACACGATGTATTTCACATATCGATGCTTCGGAAGTTCATCCGAGACCCAAATGAGATCGTTGAGTTATCTCCAGTGGAGCTTAAGCCAGATTTGACCTATGAGGAAAGACCAGAACGTATTGTGGATTATAAAGAACAAGTACTCCGACACCGAATAATCAAATATGTGAAAGGAAAGACCAGAACGTATTGTGGATTATAAAGAACAAGTACTCCGACACCGAATAATCAAATATGTGAAAATTCAGTGGAAGAATCACTCTGAAAGAGAAGCTACTCGGGAGACGGAAGATTCTATGCGAGAGAGATATCCAGAGCACTTTCGAGATATA